GGTTAACTCTCTCTTCTCTCCACAGATGCCCCGGTGCAGAGTTACCTGGCGGGGTGTGACCCCCCCCTGCCCACCTCCCCTCGCCCCCCCAAGCCCCCCAAGCGCTCCCGGGCCGCCTTCTCTCACAGCCAGGTCATCGAGCTGGAGAGGAAATTCAGCCACCAGAAATACCTGTCGGCCCCCGAGAGAGCCCACCTGGCCCGGAACCTGCAGCTCACCGAGACCCAGGTGAAGATCTGGTTCCAGAACCGCAGGTACAAGACCAAGAGGAAACAGGTGACGGCGGAGCTGGCGCGCTCGGACACTGCCCTGGCCGGGCACAAGGGGCACCCGGAGCTGCCGGGGGCATCGCTGCTCGCCCTCAGGGCCACCTGGCCCTACCTGCCCTGCCTCTACTACCTGCACGGCTGGAGCCCCTCCTGGTAGCAACAGCTTTTGTTCTTTCTTTTTTTTTTTCCCCCTTTTTTTTTTTTTTTTTTGGTTTTTTTTTTTTTTTTTTTTTTTAAGCAGAAAACATCGGTTTTTTGCTTGAAATCCCGGGCGCGGCGTCGCCCTTTCTAGTGCTAATTAGGGGAGGGATTCGCAGTAACGATCTCGGTGTCTTCTGCACGAACCTCTTGTCGCTGACAGTAAAACAATCATCAAAAAAAAAAAAAGCCCGAGATTTTAAGTCTTTGAGCGTTAAATTCATCTTGTTTTATTGCTGCGCCATCCCTGGAAGTGTCCAAGGACGGGTTGGAGCAACCTGGGCTGGTGGGAAGTGTCTCTGCCCTTTCTAGTGCTAATTAGGGGAGGGATTTGCAGCAACAATCGGTGTCTTCTGCACAAACCTCTTGTCACTGACAAGATGACAGAAAAATAACCGTCCAAAAAAAAGAAGCTAAAAAAAAAAAAAGCCCAAGACTTTAAGTGTTTGAGCATTAAATTAAAGCACTAAATTAAATTTAATTTTAAATTCAATTAAATTGTTTTATTGCAACGCTCTGGGCTGGCCCAGCTGTGGCTGCCCCATCCCTGGAAGTGTCCAAGGACGGGTTGGAGCAACCTGGGCTGGTGGAAGGTGTCCCTGCCCTTTCTAGTGCTAATTAGGGGAGGGATTCCCAGTAACGATCGATCAGTGTCTTCTGCACAAACCTCTTGTCGCTGACAGTAAAATAACCATCAAAAAAAGAAGCCAAAACCAGCTCGACACTTTAAGTGTTTGAGCATTAAATTCATCTTGTTTTATTGCTGCCCCATCCCTGGAAGTGTCCAAGGCCAGCTCAGAGCAACCTGGGCTAGTGGAAGATGTCCTGCCCATGGAATGGGATGGTTTAAGGCCCCTTTCCAAGCCAAACCATTCCAGGATTCCCTAATCTGCAGCTTTCAGGGGCAGAAAGGGCTGATCCAGCCCCAGAGACACCGACTGTCCCTCTCTGCCCCTTTGCAAACCACCTCCCTTTGCCCCTTGTTCAGGGCAAAAAGCAAACTGCTGGACGAGCTAAACACTGGGCTTAAAAATTAGTAAAAAGGCCAAAAAATCTCATTTCTGCCATTAATAGCATTAATACTACTGAGCTTAGAGCTCCCCTGTGCCGGGGGGAAGCTCCACAGCCCCCACCCGGGGCAATACACGTGTTTTTGGGGCAGAATTCGGCTTCTTTATGCAACAAAAAGGGCCTGATGCTGCCGGGGCAGCCGGATTTTTGGGGGATATGAGGTTGGGCCGGGTCTGGGGCAGGTTGTCCCCACCCAAACCCACCCCTGTGCCCACGGTGCCAAGGCTGTTGGTGCCTCAGGAGCCGTGAGAAGCCCGAGCAGGGCCAGGGACAATGGGGCACTGACAGACGAGTTTTGCATATCCGGGTGTTGGCCCTGCTGGAACATTCCCTGTTTAAAGCAGCAGCAGCAGCTCCAGGAGTTCAGCTCTCCCAGCAGAGAATTCCCTGCTTCCAGGGGTTGGAATCCCGTGGGTTTTAAGGCCCCTTCCAACCCAAAGCATTCCAGGATTCTGTGGGATCAAGAGTCAAGATAATGATCCTACAAGTCATTTTTTGGTGAACAAACTCCTGCAAGTCATTTTTTGGTGCATAAAATCCTGCAAGTCATTTTTTGCTGAATAAACTCCAACAAGTCATTTTTTGCTGAATAAACTCCTACAAGTCATTTTTTGGTACCTAAGCTCCTACAAGTCATTTTTTGCTGAATAAACTCCAACAAGTCATTTTTTGGTGCATAAAATCCTGCAAGTCATTTTTTGTTGAACTCCTGCAAGTCATTTTTTGCTGAATAAACTCCAACAAGTCATTTTTTGCTGAATAAACTCCAACAAGTCATTTTTTGGTACCTAAGCTCCTACAAGTCATTTTTTGCTGAATAAACTCCAAGAAGTCATTTTTTGGTGCATAAAATCCTGCAAGTCATTTTTTGCTGAACTCCTGCAAGTCATTTTTTGCTGAATAAACTCCAACAAGTCATTTTTTGCTGAATAAACTCCTACAAGCCATTTTTTGGTGCATAAACTCCTGCAAGTCATTTTTTAGGGAGCAAACTCTCTGCAATTAGCAAAACAGCAACAATTTTTATTTATTTTTTTTAATAACTAATCATCCTTAAAACTCCTCTAATTCCATGGGGAAAAAAAATGCAGAAATAAAGGAGGTTTCCAAGAGAGGAGATGCATCAACTCATTTTTTTTTTTCCTGAGGTGGGTTCCACCACAAAAAAAAAAAAAAAAAAAAAAAAAAAAAAAATTTTTTTTTTTTTTTTGGAACAAATGGAACCCTCTGAAATAAAAATACGAGGAGGTTTCTTCCCCTGTGAACCTCCCAAAACGTTCCTGTGGTGCCTCTTTTTTTTCCAAGAGGGGAATTAATAATCTCAGGGCCCTGACTCCCTCCTGCAACAGGGAAATACAGGTAATTAAATGACTTTAAGAAATCCCTTGGATTTGTCCCTTTTCACAGGTTTTTTTTTAAGAAATCCCTTGGATTTGTCCCTTTTCACAGGCTTTTTTTTAAGAAATCCCTTGGATTTGTCCCTTTTCACAGGTTTTTTTTAAGAAATCCCTTGGATTTGTCCTTTTTCACAGTGGTTTTTTTTTGGGAACTGCTCTGGATCTCGCTGCTCCCCCAGCAAAGGCAAAGCTGCTCCAAAGGCAAATTCCAGGGAAGGGAGTTCAGGGAGAGGAGAACACACGAGCTGGAGCCCTTTGCAGGAGATATGAATTTTCTCCTGCTATCAAAAGCTTCTCTCTGAGTTTGGAGGACACTTAATTGTCTCAAAGTAACTCTTAATATCTCCAGATAACATTTTTCCTCCCAGATGCTGCCTGGCTTTTTAGGGGGGAAGGACATCTCCCCTCCACTGTTGCAATGTTTCAAACCCTGCTCCTTTATCCACTTTCCCCACTCCTTGCAACAACAAAAAGCTCTTTATGGCCTCAAAACCGGGCACAAACCACCCCCCCCGAGAGCACCTCCCACAGAATTCCCACATCCAGACCCTCGGGATGCCGCTTAAATCCGGGATATTTGCACTAAATCCACTGGAAAACAGCTCTGAGCATCCCCTGGAGAGGGATCCCCGTGTCCTTTGCACGGACAGGGACGGGAATCTTACACTGGGAAAGACTCAGCTGGGCTGGAAAAACGAGATATAAACGCTGAAAATGAGCTATAAACTCTGAAAATTAGATAGAAACTGAAAATTAGATAGAAACTGAATTTCTTGGATGCTTCTTTGGGAAAATGCTTGTGGCAGAGCTCTTTTTTTTCCCTTTGCTGATGGTTTCCAAGCAGCCAAAAAATCCTCCTTGTGCTCTGGATCCCAAACTTCGCTGCTCCAGTGCAAATAGTTGCTATTTTTGTACATATTTTTTTGATACTGTTTTATCTGCTGCTGGTTTATGACCCTTGGGAATAAAGAGAGCGGAATCTTTGCTAAAAATCCCGGCTGCCTCCGTGGGTTTTTATCTCTGTGGGGTTTGGGGGTTTCTTTTCTCAACATCCCACCACAACTCACCGTGTGGGGGGGAGAGTTTGGTGTAAAATATTCCCCCCCAGGCACCATCTCAGGTGGTTCTGCAGGTGGAAAACCATCATCCAGCCCTAATTTTAGGTGCTCAGCCCCCAAATCCCGCCCCATCCCTCATCCAGCACCCCCCCAATCCCATTCCAATCCTATTTCCCAGGATGCAGGTGAGTATTTCCCAAAAGGAAGATTTTAAAAGTGAAATATTTTCTTTATCACCCCCAATTTAAGCCCAATCCCAGTGGCCCCCCAGGGTTTTGAACCACAAGAAGCTGTCCCAGTTTTTCCTGCCCCTGCCTTTTAATCCCAAAATCCCACTCAGGGCCATCTGGGCTCTTTGGGATCATAATAAAAGGAATTTATTCTGGGAGCTGTTGGTGTGAATATTCCCCCTTGGACAGAGGTGGAGAGGGACCGACCTTGGTCCCAGCTGCCCATCCACACACTCCCATCCCTTCTTTCTCCTGACAGCTCTTCCCAAATGGAAAAGGAGCTGCAATCACTGCCACCATTCCCAGTTCATATTTATATTGTATTTTATATACTGTATAATATAATAAATATATATAATACAAATATTACAGATTATATAATATTATATATTATATAAATATTCTATTATATATATTAAATATATAAATATTGTATATAAATATTATTCTATAAATAATACTATATATAAATATTATTCTATAAATATTATATAATATAAATATTATATGGCATAAATATTATATATTTATGTTCTATTTATTTATATTATAAATTACTGCTATAATGATTAAATTATTGTTAATGCATGATTAATATAATTATTATAACTACAGTTGTTAATCATTATAATAAATAAGTTTATTATGCGTTATTATAATAAATAATATAAATTTAAAATAAAAATAATTTTTAAAAAAGCCAAAACGGGCATCAAAAGGCAAAATGAGACCTCAGAGGAGCTGGAGGATCCTCAGCACCCAAATCCTGGGACAGACACAGGTCTGACCCACCCTGACCTCTCTTCCCACCCTCCCTCCTCTCCTTCCCATCTCCAAGCTGGTTTTCATGGACACAACCCACACTTCCAGTTGGTTTTTCCTTATTTTTTTTTTTAATTCCCCGAGCACAAAACCCGTTTGGAGAAGCAAATCCCGCGGAGGGGGAGTGCACCGGGGGCATTAATCCCCCATAAAAACACAATATCCCCTTGATTAATGGAGAAGGGGAAAAGAAAATGCCCCCGGCGGGCGCGGCGAGTTTTAATCGGAATTAACGAGGCAGAACCGGGGAATGTCCGTCAATTAGTGTCGCGCTCCGCCGCCAACGCATCCAGAGGGATTAAAGAGTGTCCACAACGCCGCTCGCTGCCAAATCGCTGCTTTAGAGCTCGAAAAGAAAGAGAAAAAAATAAAAGAGAGGGGAAAAAAAAAGAGAAAGAAGGCTGAGTGCG